CAGAAAATATCAGTTGGGAGTTGTAGGGAAGTCCAAATTTGAAAACTCAAAATGATTTTTGTTTCACAGTAGAATCAATGGCAGGGGGAAATTATTTTTACTTTCTACTTTTAGTTTTTAAAAACCAAATGGTATCCTAACTTTAGACAATGTAAAACGACAATGGCATCCTAGTTTTTTGACACAACTAACAGTAAGGATGTGGGTGGAATTAAGGAAATTCGTCGTTTTCAGTTTGATATGGGTGGAGAATAAAGGAAAGTCTAAACTTGTAAGTGCTTTCTTAAAAAGCACCTAACAAGAATAATTTTTTTTACAAGAAATCTTTTAGATTGCATTGTGGAAAGGAGCTAGAATGAAAACTATTCATGACAGTCCATCTAAATTCAAAACCATTCTGATAAACTTTATAAGCCCCAATTCGCATATAAAAACACGTATGTACGTATTTTTTAAAAATATTTTCATTTTCGTGAAGTTTTCAAGATACGGTGAAAACACCCATTTAAAAAATAAATAAATAAAATACCATACATGTACTTCATATTAAAAAGTGTAAATAATTGACAATAAAATACTCTATTAGGTTGAAATTTTCACCATATTTTTTTATTTATATAAATCTATTAAATAATATATATATATATATATAAGGAATATGTTGAGAATGATGGAACATTCAAAATACTAAAAATTACTCTTGGTTAATGAATTTATTAAGAAGTGAAACTTTTCATTAAATAAGGATAATATAATAAATTAACAATTTTTCATATTAATATTTTTTAAAATCAAAATAATAACCAAACTCATTTTCTCTTTCTTAATTCTAAAATGAGAAAAACAAAAATAAAAATCCAATTGACACGTGTGTGCCAAGAGTCTAGTATATATATGTGTATTTGATTCGTATTTTTCCAGTCCCGCATTTTACTAAACTTCCCCAAAACTATTTTACAAATTTCATACCCAATCTAAGCCCAGCCCATAAAGAAGCAAAAATATACCCGTTGGCCACTTTGAGTCCCATTCCCCACTCTCATAAATAAGCACTCGCTCATCTTAACCCCGCCACACTCTCCTCCTCTCTCACACAATAAGAAAGAAGCCAATACGACACAGGCATAACGGTCTCTCCGCCTTCAAAGCCAAACCAAAAAATAAAAACCCTTCATTTCTTCACTCTCTCTTCTCTGCAACTCCCAAGCTAAAACCCTAACCAGTCACCACTATGCATTGCATTGCTGCAAACATTCCTCACAGCTAACTCTGCAAAACGACACCGTCATCACAATTTCGGGAAATTTTTTGTTCTTCTTTTTCTATTATATTCCGGTGAATCCCAGCACTTTCTATTTTGGTCAACTCCAAATCCTCCATGAGTTTTTTTTTTTTTAACTTTTCATTTTTTGTTTTGATCGGATTTCTAAACTCTATAAGCAAAGTGTGCTTAAGCTTGAATAATTGCAGTGGTAGCAGTAGAGAATGAAGATTTTGAAACTGATAGAGAGGCGGTGTTTGGCTCCGCTCAAGCGAGACGACGTCGTTCGTGAGAGTGATGCGCGGACCTTCACCAACCACCACTCGTACAAGAAACTCCCTCAGCTTCCGCTCCTCAAGCTCTCCGTTCTCAAGCTCGATGGCTCTGTTTTCGGTAACTTTTTTAAAAACTTCGTTTCTCGTTTTGACTTTGGTTCTGGGAAGCTGCTTTTTGAAATGGAGAAAATCTGCTTTTGGAAAAAGCTATTTTGGTTAGAATGAGTATCTTTAGGAAACAACATCTACATAAAGTTAAACCTTTCTTGCATCTCTTGTCTTATGCTAAAATTATTACCCAAAATGTCTTTTTCCTTTCTTTTTTTTTTTCTGTCTTTTTTAATTTTGTCAAAATCATGGGGTCCATTATCACTCACCCAAGTTTCTATTTACCTTTTATGGATTATAGGAATTGCTATTATTTGGGTTGTTTGTAGAGTTAATGAGATTTCAATTCTACAGAAATTCATGTTGGGAGGACTGCTA